CTTACCACAGTGCAGTGTGCTGTAGCCATGCTCACAGATCACAGCTTTCCCTAGAGGAAGGAGACAAAGCAAATGCATGCATTCTGACAATATACAGATATTGTCCAGCCTTGCATAAGTATTCATAGATCATTCTATCATCAAGCTTTATAGCCCAGCACTGCTCTTCACCCTAGAACTTCATCCTAACAGTGAAGAATGATGCTGGTAGCACCATGTTGTGGGAGTGAGTTTCATCAGCAGGGACTGGAAAACTGGTTAGGGTTTTGACACTGGGCCAGATGGTCACCATCCAACACGGAAACAACCTTAAGCATACTGCCAAAACTACACAGGAGTGGTTCAAAACCAAGAACGGTCAAGCCCAATCTGACAGAGCTTGAGCAATTTTGAAGGAGGGTGTACTTTCTTTTTCCCATATATGTGTATGTGTGTGTGTGTATATATATATATATATATATATATATATATATATATATATATATATATATATATATATATATATATTCAGAATGGAGTATCAGTATTGGGATGGTTTTGATTTTTTGATCAAATTTACAAATTTAATGTTCTAAAGCACTAATTGCTACCACTCCTTTAATGTTTTGCATAAATTGGCAGCAGAAGCTTGCAGAGGGTGAGAAAGAGGTGTCAGTATTGGATCAGTATTAGTGTGTTAGCAGTGAACATCCTGAATTCTGCACTGTGATTCCAATTTCATAAGAGCCTTCATAAATTCTAACATAACCCACTCTATAGACTACTTACGGACATAGTAGCAGCCGTAAGAGGTGTAGTAGTATTTGTAGGTTCCTTCACATGGGTCAGGGGTGTCAAGCAAATCCGTATTTACCTCACACTCTGTTAGTCCATTGCATCTGTTTGGGTGAACAAACCAAATGTTCTCAGCAGGGTTAAAGTGTCGGCTTATGTGCATTCAGAATTTGGAATAAATAGCAGAGCTATGTTGTGTATAAATCTTCTCATTATAATGATCACAGAAGAAAAATAAAATGGCAGTGCCTGTCTATTTAGTTAGAAAGGGCTGAGGCAACTTTGTGAGAGTGAATTTGTCTTATCATCCTTGTGAGGACCTTCAACTGACATAATTATTAATGCAGCAAATTAATATGATGCTTAACCCTTACCTTGACTTCAAATTTTTGACTCCTAGTTTTTTAATTACTTGCATTTAATTAACAGTGGTGGCTTAGTGGTTAAGGCTCTGGGTTACTGATCAGAAGGTCAGGGGTTCAAGCTGCCACTGTTGGGCCCTTGAGCAAGGCCCTTGACCTCCTCTGCTCCAGGGGCACTGTATCATGGCTGACCCTGCGCTCTGACTCCAGAATCTTAACAAACTGGGATATGCGAAGAAAATAATTTCACTGTGCTGTAATGTATATGTGACAAATAAAGGCTTCTTCTTCTTGTCAAATAATAATTACAAGGCTGTCCAGAGCAAGCTGCTATGTGTGATGGACCCCATTGTGAAGCAGAGCTACTGTAACACACTGAATTTGATTATTTTACAAAAACAGCATGCCTTGAAGTGTTTTATTCCTCTGATCCTGAAGCAATTTCTTACTATTACAATTTGTTACGTATTAAAGAAGGACATGTTGTACATTTTATCCCTTTACAGTTATGTTTAATGCTGTGGAACATGAAGTTAGTTTCTCTTATCTTGTATGTTATAGCAGATATAGACATTTCCTCACCAGCACAAACACTTTTTGTTCCTCTCTCTTGAAATTAATAAGACAAAAAAATTGTCCAACTTATAGAAAATTAATCAGCACCTTGTGACCGATTAGATTGTAGCATTTAGCAGGACAGTGGTATAAATAATTTTAAAGAATTATATAAATAATATTAAATCACTTGTGTTTAAATTTCTGCCAGTTGTGCTACCCAAGAAATTATAACCCAAGAAACACTGTACCTCTCAGCAATAGTGGAAATACTCGAGGAACAGCTAGTATCAGTAACCTGAAGAGGGGGATGTGTAGTACTGCAGATGCTTCTGTCCGTACGGCCGTACAGAGTAGACCACACCACTATCAGTCCATAGTCTGAAAACATATAAATAGAAAAAGTCTTTCCAGTTCAAAGAAATTCATATTTATTATATATCTAGTTTCCTATAATAATGCAAAGTTTTCATACAACTATACAGAATGAAAGACAATTAAACTTACCACAAGTGAGGCGATGGACATCACCATCGCAGGTAATCACATTCTCTGAAAGAACAGATTATTCACACAGATATTTGAATCAAACCTGAATTATTTGGTCAGGTACAGTGTGAAACCATTATCATATGCTAAGTTATTTAAAATCATGGTGTTTGACTGCATTCAAATATTACCTCCAGAAACAAGCAAGCCAGGTGCTGTAATAAGTACTGTAAAGCAAAACACAGATAGTTTACTATCAAAAGAACATAAATTTGACTACTTTCCTATTTCTCCTGTTAAGAGGGATGAGGTAAAATTTAGCTTAACACACCCATGGATTTCATATGGAAAAGCATGGAAGAAACTTACAGGTGAGTAGAGTAAGCTTCAGGAAAGGCAGCATGATGCTGAATGTGTCGAAGCAGTGATGTTGGATGCTGTTGGTAGATGCTTTTGGATGTGTTGAAGTGCTGCACCACTGGCACTGATCTCTCTATATATAGTATATAGAGTAACAGCAGTAATTGAAAACAAAATACTTGCACTAAAGCCATTCCCTTGACCCACCCAGAAGTAATTACATACAATTTCACAGGAATTCTGACAAACAGTGTCAAACAGTATCTAGTCTCAAAAAGTCATTATTTGAGTGCTTGTTTTTTTTTTTTTTTTTTTTTTTTTTGCAGGAATTTGTCCTAACCACAGTATCTTTGATTGCTTTTTCTGAGCTAAAAAACCAGAAGGAAAAAAGAATACTAAACTAGAAACTTTTTAAGCAGAAAAGAACCCCTAACTATACAAAGAGACTTTTGAGGAAATTTCACAGAACCTTTTTTCTAAGAGTATCAAACACTATGAGAAGGGATTCCTTACATAAAAATCACCTAAATTTTGTGATCATGTATGACAGTGCTTTTCACCATATTATGCTCTGAAATGTGAAATGTAGTGCCCATGCACACATTAGAGAGGACTACTGACAGGAAGAGCAGCATAGTTTATAGCAGAGGAGTGTGGGTGCCTCAGGCATGGATATTCAGCCCCCAAGGGCATAGGCGCAGAGCCAAAGCCAGTTTTAAGGCTCGCCCATGGAAGCACAACTGGTTTACGTGTCAAACAGGTTTGCTCTCCTTAGAGAGTCACTAACAGAGAAGCTTGTTGAAAGTGTCCCAATTGTAGGAGACGCTATTCTATGACACATGATGTTAGGTAAGTATTTAAGGCATAGGTGTTAAACTCAAGGCGTACAGGCCAAATGTAGCCCGCTGCCTTGTTTCGATCCGTGCAAACTTAAAAAAAATATATACTGCTCCAAAAAATAAGGGAACACTTAATCATTACAGTATAACACCAAGTCAATTAAACTTCAGGGATATCAAGCTGCCCACTTAGGAAGCATAAGTGATTATGAATCAGTTTCACCTGCTTTGGTGCAAATGAAAGTGACAACAGGTGCACTGGAGAGGCAACAGCAAGACCACCCCCAAGAAGGGAATGGTTTTGCAGGTAGTGGCCACAGACAATTGCTCTCTCCTTATCCCTCCTGCCTGATTTGTTTTGTTAGGGTCCTTGTCACTACTTGTAGCATGAGGCAGTACCTGCAGCCCAGTCAGGTTGCACAGGTAGTCCAGCTCCTCCAGGATGGCACATCCATACGTGCCATCACAAGGAGGTTTGGTGTGTCTCCCAGCACAGTTTCGAGAGCATGGAGGAGATACCGGGAGATGGGCCGTTACACAAGGAGAGCTGGACAGGGCTGTAGAAGGGCAACAACCCAGCAGCAGGACCGGGATCTGCTCCTTTGTGCAAGGAGGAATAGGAGGAGCACTGCCAGAGCCCTACAAAATGACCTCCATCAGGCTACTGGTGTGAATGTTTCTGACCAAACTGTCAGAAACACACTCCGTGAGGGTGGCATGAGGACCCAATGTCCTCTAGTGGGACCTGTGCTCACAGCCCAGCACTGTGCAACTCGATTGGCATTTGCCAGAGAACACCAGAATTGGCAGGTCCACCATTGGCTGGTTCTCTTCACTGATGAGAGCAGGTTCACACTGAGCACGTGTGAGCGATGTGAAAGAGTCTGGAGATGCCGTGGGGAACGTTATGCTGCCTGCAACATCATCCAGCATGACTGGTTACTGCTGTTAGGTACCGGGATGAAATCCTCCAAGCCATTGTCAGACCTTATGCTGGTGCAGTGGGCCCTGGGTTCCTCCTTGTGCATGACAGTGCCCGGCCTCATGTGGCCAGAGTGTTTAGGTAGTTTCTGGATGACGAAGGCATTGATGCTATTGACTGGTCCTCACATTTCCCAGACCTGAATCCAACTGAGAACCTCTGGGACGTTATGTATCGGAGCATCCGAAGCCACCAAGTAGAACCATAGACTGTCCAGGAGCTCACTGATGCCCTGATCCAGGTCTGGGAGGAGATCCCCCAGGACACCATCAGCCATCTCATCAGGAGCATGCCCAGATGTTGTCGGGAGTGCATACAGGCATGTGGGGGCCATACACACTACTGACTTACATTATGAGTTGCCTTGATGAAATTCATTCAAGTTGGATCAGCCTGTAATTTCAATTTTTTATTTTGATTTTTGGTGGAATTTTGACTCCAACCCTCAGTGTGCTGATGACTTTGGCATCCACTGACCATTGTGACATCATTTTGTGTATAAATAAAGATTTTCAACTTGAATATTTCGTTCATCGAGATCCAATGTGTGATTTAAGTGTTCCCTTAATTTTTTGAGCAGTGTATATTGAAATGGCCCAAGGAAATATATTAAATTACTTTTCACACATTTGGTAGGGGTCCCTAGAGGACTAGTGGTTAGGCCACAGCCCTGTCACTGCTGCAGCCTGGGTTTGATTCCTGGCCAGGGAACCAACCCCAGCCCCTGGGGTTGCATGCAACAGTGTGCTCTCAGTGCCAGTCCCAAGCCTGGATAAAATTGGGGATAGGTGCATCAGGAAGGGCATCTGTTTAAAAGCTGTGCCAAATCAAATACACGGACCAATGCTCCGCTGTTGTGAACCCTAACGGGAGCAGCTGAAAGAGGAACAGGTTTTCATGCAATTGGTGGTAGGAGCACTGATTTGGTGATGGCAAGATTTTCTTAATTAATCATTTAAGACACTATCTACTGTAAATGAATCTCACCATATTTGTCATGGTTATTTTGAAATCGGCATTGAACTACATTACCAATCAGCCCCAGCACCTCACATGACCATGTCACATGTTTTCTATCACTTGCCCCTGTGTCTCGTTTCACCCTGATTATTGCCTGGATGTTTTTGCCTAGTATTTTTTGTTCTAGTTCTAGTTCCGGTTCTTGTTTTCATGGTTTTGGTTATCTGGCTGCACTTTATTTAAATAAAATCTGCACTTGCATCCACCTTCGTCTCCCAGTTGGGATAGAAAGCTTGGCCTAAACATGGATGCAGCAGATTTTTTCACCGTCCAGGAAGCCCTCCTAGAGAGCAACCGCCTGCTCTGGGGGCAACAGGGGAAGTGTGTGGCTCAATGCCATGTGCCCCCTCAAGAAATATTTTGAGGAGGGGACCACCGACTCCGTCTCCTTGCTCCACTGAGGACACCTCTCTGCCTTCCTTCTCCCTTGAGGACATCGCTCTGCCTCCCTGCTTGGCTGAGGACATCACTCTGCCACCCTGCTTGGCTGAGGACATCACTCCACCTCCTTGCTATGCTGATAATGTCACTCCGCCTCCTTCCACTGATGACATTTGCTGTGCCTTCCTGCTCCATTGAGGACGTCACTCTGCCTCCCTGCTCCTCTGAGGGGGGTTCTTCTGCCCCTCTGCCCCACAGAGGACGCCATTACAGATCTCGGCCTCGCCATGGGCGTCACTCCGTCACCCTGGTCCACCTCGGACGTAATTATGCCACCCAGCCTCACTTCAGATGATGCTCCACCTTCCTACTCCGTTGAGGATGTCACGCCGCCTCTTTGCTCTGCTGAGTACATCGCTCTGCCTACCTGCTCCACTGAGGATATCGCTCACCCCTCTGGTTTTGTGGAGAACGTTGCTCCCTGCTCTGGCTCTGCCTTGGTCTTTGCTTCCCCAACGGCTTTGTGGTGGTCTTCCAGACTCCAGACCTTTTATTGTCATGAAATAGGCCACACCAGGCCATTAAACTGCGTATCAGTCAAATGTCCAATTACTTTTGAGCTTGTGAAAATGGAGGTACTATGTAAAAAATGGTTGTAATTCCTAAACAAATAATGCAATGCATTTTTTAATGCAATATTTTTGTTAAACCCCTTAAATTAAAGCTGAAAGTCACTTCAATCACATCTTGATTGCTTCACTTCAAATCCATTTTGGTGGTACACAGAGGCAAAATTATGAAAAATTTTACATCTTATGGACCTGACTATATATATATATATATATATATATATATATATATATATATATATATATATATATATATACACATATATATATATACGCCAATCAGCCATAACATTAAAACCACTGACAGGTGAGGTGAATAACATTGATTATTTCATAACAATGGTACCTGTCAAGGGGTGGGATATATTAGGCAGCAAGTGAACAGTCAGTTCTTGAAGTTGATGTGTTGGAAGCAGGAAAAATGGGCAAGCGTAAGGATCTGAGCAAGGGCAAAATTGTGATGGCTAGACGACTGGGTCAGATCGAACATCTCCAAAACACCAGGTCTTGTAGGGTGTTCCTGGTATGCAGTGGTTAGTACCTACCAAAAGTGGTCCAAGAAAGGACAACCGATGTACCGGCTAGAGGGTCATGGGCGCCCAAGGATAACTGATGCACGTGGCTAACCCGTCTGGTCCGATCCCACAGAAGAGCTATTGTAACTGCTGAAAAAGTTAATGCTGGCTATGATAGAAAGGTGTCAGAACACACAGTGCATCGCAGCTTGCTGCGTATGGGGCAGCATAACCTCAGACCAGGCACAGTGCCCATGCTGACCCCTGTCCACTGCTGAAAGCACCTACAATGGCCCCGTGAGCATCAGAACTGGACCATGGAGCAGTCGAAGAAGGTGGCCTGGTCTTATGAATCACGTTTTCTTTTACATCCTGTGGATGGCCAGGTGTGTGTGCATTGCTTACCTGGGGAAGAGATGGCACCAGGATGCACTATAGGAAGAAGGCAAGCTGGTAGAGGCAGTGTGATGCTCTGAGCAATGTTCTGTTGGAAAACCTTGGGTCCTGGCATTCATGTGGATGTTATTTTGAAACGTAACACCTACCTAAACATTGCTGCAGACCAAGTACACCCCTTAATGGCAATGATATTCCCTAATGGCAGTGGCCTGCTTCAGCAGGATAATGCGCCCTGCCACACTGCAAAAATTGTTCAAGAATGGTTTGAGGAACATGACAAAGTGTTCAAAGTGTTGGCCTGGCCTTCAAATTCCACAGATCTCAATCCGATCGAGCATCTGTGGGATGTGCTGGACAAACAAGTTCGATCCATGGAGGCCCCAACTCGCAACTTACAGGACTTAAAGGATCTGATGCTAAAGTCTTGGTGTCAGATACCAAAGCACACCTTCAGAGGTTTTGTGGAGTCCATGTCTCGATGGGTCAGAGCTGTTTTGGCTGCACAAGGGAGACCTACACAATATTAGACAGGTGGTTTTAATGTTATGGCTGATCAGTGTATGTATGTATGTATTAATACACCTTGTAGTATATTTATACTATATATTCTGCATATATTCTGCATTTATGTATAGTCATGTAGAATTTTATGTGTATATTAATTTGGAGGTTGTTGTCTTCCTCAAAGTCCACATAGGGTTGGCAGCGATGCTTTGAATACCCAAGTCCTCACGAGGCAGAAACCAGCTGGAGCTGGTCCATCTCTGGATGCCTCAGGATCCTCGTAGGGTTGGCCTCTGTCTACTGGAGCTGGCACAATCTCTATGTGCCTCGGGATGGGTAGAAGAAGGGAAACAAGTGGAAAGGAATTAGCGTAGCTGCTGTTCATAATATTAGCAAGCACTAGA